GGGGGCTGTATGCGACAAGTAAGCTAGATTACCTGAAATCCGCGAGATTTTGCCCCAAGAAACCCAGAACAGCTAGCTGCACCACAAAGGCAGCGGACCTTGGCACCACCATACCATTCAAAATTGTAGTTGTATGCCAGTTCAGTTCCGATGGCTATGTCTTGCCTAGCAAATATTCCAACTCTTACTTCCCCCAAGACATTCCACTTCCTTGTTTCACAGTTCGGTTGGCTGCAAACAAAGAAAAAAAAAAGGCAATACTACCTATATTTTACCACTATATAAATACATATTAAAAAAAAAAAAGTAGAGAACAATAAATCAATTTTGCATATAAATATCTATTTATTCCAATAATATTCTGCTGAAGTGGCTCACCATGAATGATTTATAAACCTCGCAAGGCTTCCTTTTCTAGTGGCATCAATAGTTTCAGAGGCATTAAGAGAGATTATAAACGCATCCCTGACACCTGCAGCAAGCCGCGCAGAAATAGTAAGCTTGATTTCAATAAAAGATAATGTGGACATATAATATGTATGTAACTTTGAAGCACTACCTTGAATTTCATAAGCTTGTGATCTTCTCTTTGCTTCCTTCCATGATATGACTTCTCCGCAGTACTCAATAACAAATTGTCCTTTCTGCATTATGAACCAATCTTGTGAATGGTACTGAACGAATTAAGACTCTTGATAAGCATGGTGAGAAAAAGGTTTTAAATCAATTTTGAGTTCAATTAGAGACTTCATCGAGCTTCAAAGTTTAAATGTGTCCACTAATGGAAGTTACTAGTGTTCTTAACGTGCCAAGGATATGATACGTTACACGCCAACACCACGTAGAATTTAGATAAGAAAAAGTGAATGTTGGAAAGAGTTTAGTATCTACTAAATTATCATTGATGATTGTAAAACTTAATCGAATGCAAACCATTACCTTTATATCCTCATCAGCTAAAAGACCCCATCCACGGTTTTCGGTTTTGAACAACTTTGTCTTGGCATATTCACATTTCTGAAATCTCTGTCAACCGTTCAGTGAAAAGACGCACGTAGAGAGGGAAAAAAAGACCAGATAGTAGTTTCACAGCAATTAAACAGGAAACATAAAAGTTTAAACACCTAGATATGTATTCTAAACATAAAACTGTCCCAAAACATTTCAGGAAAGTTTTCATGTGTTTTCTAATCTTTTTTATTAGTCCATGATTTTCCTAATTGTGGTCCTAATAAAATGTTAGCTCACAATCTCATATCAGAGGAAATAACTTTGCCCAAAGTTCCACTACTGCTAAATACTAATGGGTCACCTTGTAATTATTTCTTACGAGCACAAGCATCCCAAGTAATTCCAAGGTTCTCATTTTTATGGGCTTTCATTACAATGTTTTAGTAGCCAGCATAACGAGATATTTAATGGCAAGAACTTATTGAATCCATTGTTCAGACCCATACTAAATCAAAAGTTTCTCCAGCTGGTCAACCTAGTACCCTTGAGCATTGTACAAGCTCGATGTTATACAAGTAATCCATCATCCTCTAGATGAAATTTCCACAACATGGGCATTCTTCTTAGCAAGAAGAATATGCAAAAGAATAGTGGCTAGTAGGGTTTGAGATGCACTACTGCATGGTTTCCAAGGTTTATCTAAGGCTTAGCAGACCTTTGTAATGCTACAAGCTTTGGTAAGAGCTTGCTTAACAAAATAGAGTAAGTTGGTTTACCAAGGGCATATCAGCCTAAAAATTTCCACCTCTTTTCTCTTCATATTCATGTTCTCTCTAGTACTATGAATAGATACATCCAGAGACCCGGTTAACATATAACTTTCTTCATATCTTATCCTCACAATCCCTAAGCCAAATCCTTCGTCTTGGTTAAAATCCTAAGCTGATTCATTTGCACAACCTGTAGTCCTCAAATAAGAACTACCTGCATGTCTATGGAATTTCCAGCAAGAAGCCAAGAACAATTTCATACATGTGAGAACAAGAGTGGAAGTGAATGTCATATGTAAAAAGTATGCCATATTTCGATTCTACAAAAATGACTTTGCTAAAATCAAGGATTCGACAATTTAGAAGGTGATTTAGGAGGGTGAAGCAACTTTTAACCATATATAAAGTAGTGCCAAAAATAAAAACCATAACACAGAATAAGGCGAAGCGTATTGACAATTGAATGTATAGAAAGTGGCTCCTAAACATTTCTGGCCAATATGACAGAAAAGTGAATATGCTGCGGCACCAAAAATAGGTAATAACAGAAAGAAATTAAAAGAGCACAAGAACATCAAAATAGAAGAATTCGCGGAGGATAGAGAGAGAATGAGAGAGAATATATCTACCTGATTCTTGCAATAATAACCACAAAGGCAAAAGCCAGGAGTGCATTCAGTGCTGGTAAGTACGTTCAAGCAAGTCTCACCACATGCACTTTCAGGTTGGCTTATATCATATTTGCATTCGCATATAGCAATATCTTCCTCCTTCTGCTTCTTGTGTCTAAACAAAAATGTACACACCAAAATGGTTTTTTTCTTCTCTTTTTAAAGGACAATATTGTACTAAACTAATATGATAAAGGAAAAAAAAATGCAGATAAAGTGGTCTTACTTGCGATATGAGAAATCATTTTGGTATGTGTGTATGTAATCTGGCTGTTCTTCTCTATCTTGAGCCTTCGAACAAAGATGAAGTTACTTTCTTTGTAAGATTTAAAACCCAAAAACACAAAATAAAATTCCAAAGACATGAAGCTAGAAAATGAACATACTAAATTTAAAGCACTCGGTTTCTGGAAGCAAAATTATGTAACATGCTAGCAACTCTTAATCTTGTATATACACAAATAGAAAAATAACATATCAAATTATTAGACACCCAGTCACACCCCATAACCAAAAATGATTTTCTTTTTTCCTTTTGTTTCTCATCATATTTTTCTAAATTACGCAAAAGTACAAAAAATTGAAAAGCCAAAAAGAAATGAGGAACCAATTGGAATTTAGGAGGGAAACCCAGTTCTACTTCTCCATAAGTATAAATATAAAACAACAAAAACACAAAAATATCATCTGAGAAGAAAAATGTAAGTAACAATAATAACTAATAATAACAAAAGTAATGAAGAAAACAGAGGAATTACCATTGGAATAGGTACAGAAGGTACCGAGAAACATCGTCGTATTCTAAATCCTACCTTCAACTTTCCCAATCATTTCGCACGTCCCTAAAGAAAAACCCTAACGCAAACAGAGAAATCCAATTAAAAATCAAACAAGATTAAGAACTGTCACCAACTGAATTTAACGGAATTACTATCTGCAACTACTTTGTAAACAAATAAATTAATCATACAAAATTAAACCTTCGAGGCCGAAAAAATCTTTCCCTTTTTTTTTATGCTGAAACGAAGGACCCGCCCTTAGAATTGAAGCTGTCTTGAAGTACGGAAGGCCAGTTCGATCCCTGCAATTATTTGTTTGTTTGTTTCTTTATTTATTTTGAAAATATTTATGAGAGTCATCATTTGAAGAGGCTATTGGGATTTTTTTTTTATTACTCGGTAAAATGGACATTTTACAGCTAAAAAAATGTGGTAGTTGCTTCATCTATTTACGCTAAATTTATTGTCAATTTTATTGTTAGAGATTAAAATCAGGGGCATGTCAAAATTAAAAATTCAGATATTAAATATTAATATGCTCAAAATTTAGGAGTTTATAGGATGAGCTTGGTCTTTGGCGGATCATTTTAAACACTATGAAAGTACAATTTTAATATTTAAGATATTTACATTTTTATACCTTATATTTTAGTTTTATTTAAAATTTATACATTCAACTTTTAATCTCATTAAATGTATTTCTTCAAATTAAATTTAATATATAATTATATCTCTTATCTCAATCAATAATTGATTTTGATCTTTAAAATGACCAAACTATCCTTAAAAAAAAAAAAAGACTAAAACTTTCCAATATTATAAAACATAAAAGACCCTATTTCAATAGTATTTTAGATATTTTTAAGGTTAAAACTGTAAGTTTAAAGTTTTTTTTTAATTTTTTTTCTTTTTCCATTTTTATTTAAGAGTTCTTTAAGTATTTTATGCTTAAAGTCGAGAGTTGACTGTGAAAATGTATAAATTTAAGTATTAAATCTAATTTAAAAATATAATTTTGATCATATGAAAATTGAAGGTATAATTTTTAAATAAACTCAAAGTACAAGGTATAAAAATATAAATATCCCTTAATATTTTTAGACCGGCCAATACTACCATGATACGTCTTAATACAACATACAAAAGGTTATAATATCCTATTATTATTGAAAGAAAAATTATTAATATCCCATATCTTTCTTCATTATGGATTTACATCCCACAAAATTCATCAAGAGTTGCAAGTTTACATCTGGATAAACAAGCCAGCCTAAAACCTATTATTATTGGCTCAATCCTGGCTGACTTCTGTGTCCGGGTCTGGTCATGCCAATAGTCTAAGCCCAAAATGTTTTTGGGTGGGGCCGACCTAAGTGCTTTATTAGTATGATGATGATTATTATATATTAGAAAAAATTACATAATTTATTCTCTTTTTTACCTATAATTCTTAATTAATACTCTTTTATTAGTATAGTTATTTGACTAAAAATATTATTAATAAAAAGTAAAAAGTAAAAATCTTAAAATATGTATTTTTAAGGGGTATTTATTTCCTTTATTATTATTATTATTATTATTATTATTATTATTATTTCATTATGATTATTAAATTTACCTTATAAAGGACCAAGCTGGACCGGCCCTAGCCCGTCAAGTTTTAGAGCGAGGTTGAGTCAACCATCCTCTTATAAGACCAAGACAGCCTGGCCCAATTTAACTAGTAAATTGACGTGGACCCAATTAAACTTTTAGGTCTAGACTTACTAATAAAATAGAAAGGATTTATCATTTTTTTATGGGAAATTTTTAAAGATACTCGTCTCTGTTATTTGTACAACATTAATTCATATATTTTTATCTTTTAGACTAAAACTAATCAAGGGGTAAAGTTTTTTAAAAGAGATATTTTTAGTAAATTAGGTACTTAAAGACGTATAATCTGTAATTTTCTTTTTCTTTTTCTTTTTGACGAAAACACAAAATACCCCTTTCAAGGGATAGTTTTCTATTTCTGACCGGCAAATATTATCTTTTACAACTGCCCTTTTCAAGGGGCCGGTCAAAAATTACAACATGCGCATTACCAAACGTGTCTCGCCACTCAAAAAATGTAATTTAAAAGATTACCACTTGTAACCTACCGAATGCCCTAAGTGTTGTTTTTATTTTGTTTAGATTGTTGTACTCTTTCTCTGATGAGTGATGATCTCTCATCCATCCTTTTGTTATATTACTTTAATAAAATTTTTAGTTTCTTATCCAAAAAAAAAAAGGCCTAAACTATCAAAGGTAATTTGGTTTGGGACTGTTGTGTGGGAAAACATGGCTGACACGTGGACAAAAGATGTCGCGACACGTGGCCTTGATCAAACCCCACCAAGCAAGGAACCCCTGACGCCTTAAAAGCCCTCGACGCTTAAGTTCCCTCGACGCTTAAATTTCCTCGACGCTTGCAAGCTCCTCTTAAGCCCTCCGCTAAGGCTCCGGGACGGCGTCATACTTAAAACGATGACCTGTCTGTGGCGCCGACCAATTGTGCCGCCGACGCAACAGAATGGAGATTTCTCGACCGCAGGAAGTCGCCTTCAAAAAAGGCGGTTGGGTTAAGAAGCACAGACGACGAGGGAAACGCCTAATAGAAGACAGTGCGGATTACGTGCACAAGTGGAGGTGGTCTGCAAGCATTAATTACGGGCTGTCAGACTGCCCCCACGGGGGACAGAAAAGTATTACGGAGAAGCACAGAGCCGTAATATAAGACTAAATAGATTGGATGAACAGTGCAAATTAGTGGGCTACGACTGGGCCTACCAAAGGAGAACACTCGAGTGTTTCTAGCTGTGAGGGAAACCTCCCGAGCGAAGGAAGTCCCAGTATAAGAGGTAGAAGACCCCAACGAGGAAGGGGTTGAGAAAAAAAGCAAAGGAAATACATTGTAAACTGTATCTTACCCAAAGATAAAGAAATACAATATTACAGTGGACGTAGCTCTGAAGTTTATAGAGTGAACCACTATAAACTCTCTTGTGTCAATAGTATCTAAGGGGTTTTTTCAATAGATACATACACGCGAATAGCATACCGTTTCCTAACACGCTAAATAAAACCCACACGGCCGGTAACCCAACGGGAAACCAAGAGGTAACCTGGCCGGTTCTTTCTTGACGAAATTCGACCGTCAACAATTGGCGACTCCACTGGGGACCGAAAGCATTCGACCCCTAAACAACATAGCAACAAGCCGCCGCCCGTCCAGGGAATAGCGGGATGGAAGGAGATCTACGTCCGGTGGGACATGAAGCTCCACCTCCAGATGCACCACAGCCGGACCCAAGGCAGATGCAGGCCCAACTAACCACTCTAACCGAGCTGGTACGTAGGCTGATGACCGTGGTGGAACGCTTAGACGGGAGGAACTCCATGCCACCATTAGAAGATGCTCCGATCCCGCAGGGACCAGCCCTGGCCGGAGATCCAAACCACGACGACTACCTACCTGCCCAAGAAGGGACTGGAGATAGTGAGAATCGCCGGAGCCTTCCTAGGCCTCGGCCTTCCCAATCCTCCGGCGGCCGTTTGGGGGCCGCCGGGCACTGAGCTCCCGAGGACCGGGTACCGAGAGGTCCCGGAAACCCCGAGGTATTGCCTCAAAATCCAGGTGGAAACCTGCCAGGAGACTCAGGCTCAGTACAGGCAGGCGGCCAGGCCCGAGGCGGTCCTAACGTTCAGAGGGCGGAAGCATCAAGAGTAGCCGGCTCGGCCATCTCGACAGAGGAAGCGCGCGCCATCATGGAACGTATGGCCAGCCTGGAGCAAAAACTGACAGGGGACGTGGCGGGCCTGAAAAAGAATATAGGTCGCGTGGCTGAGGTGGTAAACATCGACATCACCCCCAGTCACACCCACGACCATCCGCTTGCCAAAGAAATAATGGTGCCCCCTCTCCCCGATAAATATAGGTCGCCATCGATCCCGCCGTACGATGGACGAGGAGATCCCGACGACCATCTGGAGATGTACACCGGGCACATGCTCTTGCACGGTTACACCGAGGAGATCATGTGCCGAGCCTTTTGAAACCATCTTACGGATTCCGCGCGGAGATGGTTCCAAACGCTGATGCCAAACTCTATCTCGAGTTAGGATGAGTTGAAGGAGGCTTTTTCCCTCCAATTTATAGGGGTAAAAAAGTACGTCCCCCCAAAGTAGAACCTAACGACGATCTATCAAAAGCCAAACGAGTCATTGAGGGAATGGCTCGCAAGGTATGGGGAGGCCGTCGCCGCCACGATGGACATAACCGACAGAGAAGCTTTGATGGGGGCCTTATCTATCATGAAGAAAATAACCCCGTTCAAAAGAGAGCTAAACCAAAAACCCCCAACCAGCTACAGAGAATTTCTGGCGCGAGCGCAGGGGTACATCAATGCCGAAGAGGCAGACGCGAACGACCCCGAGCACCGAACCAACAAGAATAAAGGAACCGAACAAGGGTCAGTGCCTGCGAAGCAAGATGGGAAGAAGCGTCGAGGCGGAAGAAACAGAGACAAACAGCCCCCCGCAACGACGAGCGCTCCGGAAGCCAAGAAGCCAAGGCAAGAGGACACCCGAAGGCCCCGGCTGTTCCAAAAGTACGATTCCTACCACGAGTTAACGGTGGGAGTTGAAGAGGTTTTTAACCAAGTCGGTCGCGGGAACTTGCTACGCCGACCGGAGGCAATGAAGTTAGACCCCAGCCGACGGAACCAGAAGAAATTCTGTAGGTTCCATGGCGATGTCAGCCACCACACCAACGATTGTGCCGACCTCAAGGACGAGATCAAAAGATTAATTCGCGAGGGAAGGTTACAGGAATTCAGGGCCGAGCGGAGGCCCCGAAATGACGGCCATGGTGGGCAAAATGATGTTCGACGCCGAGAGGAGAACCAGCGCCCAGAGGACCGTGAACCCGTCGGCGTCATACGGACTGTCCTCGGCGGTCCCTACATAGGAGGAGACTCAAGGATATCTCAAAAAGATTACGCCCACAAGGCCAGAGGGGTTTATCAGGAGCGTCTCCGCTGCAAAAGTTTCGAGGTACAGCCAGATTGATGTGGCTTTTAATGAGGATGACGCTTGCGGGGTTCATTTTCCCTACAACGACGCCTTGGTGGTAGAGGCCATGATAGGGAACCACACCGTGTGTAGAATCCTGGTGGACAATGGGAGCTCGGTTGACCTCCTTTATTCCGATTGCTTGGAAAAGATGGGGATCCAAAAGGAGCAATTGGATAAAACCTCCAGGCCACTATATGGCTTCACAGGC